GCCTATAAATCAACCGAGCTCATGGGGGCAGACAAGCGGACGCCATGTTAACATACATAAACAAACCTCGCTCGCCCTAACTGATAAACGGCGAAAGCTACGGTGCAACAAGCGATCGTGCTCAAAGACTCGCGTGTTCGTTATACACAAAATGCGAGCACAAAAAAAAATCTTTTATACCCCACGCATTATTATTTTCCCGTCAGATTGTTAATTTATGAAGTGTGCAAATAAAAGTAGACTGCACGCTGGTTCCAAGTATCAAGAAGAAAAATCGAGGAAAAAAATGGTCTGGTCAGGAATAATTAATAAATGTCAATCAGAGTTCCGTAGAATCGAAGGTGTTGGAGGGATGAGGCACCAGCTAAAATGATTTCATGCCTGTCTTATGAACAATCTAATGTTACCCGACCCGATGGACAAAGATCATAGAACGGCTAATGGTCGAAAGACCCGGTTTCGTCTCGAAGACCCCGAGACTAATCAGCGCGAGCATTAATCATCCCCGTGGATCCTCGACCCAATTTTCGTAAGGTCAAGTCGCAATGGAGACGTTGATTGGATTCCACGTCAGGCCACAAGTAAACACCTTTTCCGTTCTTTCCTCGTGTACCACGTTTCGGCTCGTTTTATTGAAACGGTCAAGAGGTTTTTTTTTCCGACTGCTCTTGTCACTTTAACAAATAGTTGCTCCATGGATGTAAATCATAGTTGAATTCTAGTTTAGAGAGACAAGTGTATAATTAGCTCCCTTGGTACCGACCACGTGAAACCTATTTTGGCAATATAGTACATTGTAACTAGTAAATTTTTTTATAGGCAATTCAAAGGATACTGAGGTTCTTCAAAAATAGATTTTTGAGATTAATCTTCGCCAGCGGACCGTGTTTAGCCTGATGTAATTGTAATTTTAATTCTGACAGCATTCATTTAATTCAATTTTATAAAAGCATTTTGATTTTCTTTTTTCAATGCTCCATAAGATTAGGAGTATGGTCAACTAAATTTTTAGCGACGATAAAATCAAGGAACTGGTGATATTTTTAATGCGGTTCGTTGAAAAAATATTGCCAAGTAATTGTAAACCACAGCCTCCTGGTGGCGTGGACCGTTTATCATCGTCTCTATAGGTCGTCGAGCCGAGGTTCGGGGGTTCACCGTGCTAAGAGTTAAAACCTCAGCATGACTGGTGGCCTCGGTAGCCGATAGACGTGTCATTTACGCGTCTACGAATCAATAGCCGCTTCACTTTACACCCACCTTGCATCATTAGTCATTTTATAGGGCCGTTATACAGTGTGCCCTCTTTACATAACCCACCAACACTCCTCGTCTATCTCTTTGATTATTAAAACCCGTACAGTTATGTAGCCTCTTCGAATCCCACGCATTAATTGCTACATTGAAAATAGTAGTAAATGCAAGCTTTATACTTCAATATTATTACTTTTTCATACAGCTCGTGGTAAAAACACATGTCGAACAATTAATAAATTATCTTGCATAGAGGGAGCGTCTAGTATAGAAGATGCGGCTAATATTCGAATTCTCTCGTGACACGAGCCAACTAATCATTATAACGATCCCCCCTTTTGTATATGTACCTACACATGGATGGAAATCGTGGACGCAGGTCTTTGCTCGAGGAAGAAACGTCGAACGGTTTTGCACGCTTACCGCTCGATTTTCGGATCTATCACCCTCTGGGTAACCCCTAGGCCAGCCAGCCAGCCAGGCAGGCTCGGTTCGAGTACTCTCGTCCTACCCTATAAAGATTTATGGAACGTGTCAAATCGAATAGCTAACCCTTGAGTTCTTAGTTAAGTCCTCGACACTCGTATTCGAATCTCTACCTTGTATCACAGTACTCGCTATTACTCTTTTCTCGTTTCAAGATGATGATTGTTCATTATGAAGGAAATCAATTACAGCGCACATTCTTATATTCGGGCATCGCGTTAAACAGCTGCATGCATCAGTTAAATGCCAGCGAAGGGGTTAAAAGATCATAGTCGTGGCGTAAGAAGGTTTCGCTGGTTGCACAGGAATCACGATGATTCGATCGTGTAACACGTTTTCGTGCGAGCGAAAAAAAAGTAGCCTGCCATAATTTGCACGGCCGCACGTGGCGGGTAAGATTCTATTTGCCGTAACCGAAGGAATTAACGAACGCGAGCGGCTCGTCGCAAGGTGTCCCCGCGGTGAAAACTTAACATCGTGTATATACAGGCTGATTCAAAATAAATACACATTATAAACACTAAAAATTTCAGATGATAAAACGAATTGAAAAGATTTTTATCTCAAAATGAAAACTTGAAATTACAAAATATTACGTAATTTTTTTAATTTCTTTTATCATGGAGAACTTAATAAGAGGGATCATGGTAGTGAGGATATCGGTTGAGTGAAAATGGCCTGGGGGGTGAGGTGGTAAAGTAGAGAAACGAAGGTCCTAAGCTTTATATTATACGGATTTTTATGTCTGTTTTTTGAAACAGCCTGTACAGGGTGTAGAGAGCGCGTGTGGAGCGCGGTGGAGGCTGCTGCCGCTTCCTTCATCTATCATGCGAACCATGACAAACCGAGGCTCAAAAGCAGCCGCCAGCGTGGCAGCAACTTCTTGCCTTCTCTACGCTTAGTCTCTCAGGTGAGCCTCTACCTGTCCGCTACGTGGGATCCGCTCCGTTCTCTTCTGCTCCCTCCACATTTATTAACATTTAAGCGTTAACGACATTTCTCTGCCAGTTCACGGGGCATCGAAGAAACCGGAACCATCCTCGCTACTCTTCTTCTCCCTTCGTTTCCTTGCCTCTCGATTCGGGATTCCTTTCGTCTCGGAGGACAGCCTTTCAGTGACTGACGCGTACGATGATAATTTTCGGTATCTTTTGTTCTAGGACAATCTTTTGTTCGTTTTTAATAGATCTTTAACCCCGTAACCCTTTGAATCTTTTGTCTTTTGGTTTTTTTTTTCAAAACTTTAATACGATCGAATTTCGTCGTAGAAAGGTTTCTGAAAGTTTTTAGGGTAGCTGTGAGAAATAGGAACGTAGCGATTCTTCTTCCATCGAAAATATCAGGATTACAGCGCGAACGGTAGAATTCGTCACGAGGTTTTTACGTGTTGTGCTTTTTCGCGAGGAGCCCGCATTATGTCTTTTACAGCTGAACTTTCTACATTACATGAAATCCTCGTTCGTTTCATCACCGCGCGACTGCGCCGCGAGATTTCACCTTTAAAATGAGTTTCTCGTTATTTACGTTTTTGCGCGAGCCACAATTACGCGACGTTAAACGTCGAACGAGCGCGTTTTCACCGAGATCGACATTTGCTTTTCGTGAATTCCAGCGAATTTCGCGTTTTTACCACGGACCTAGAAAAACTTGCTTTGAAAATCAACGGGTAGGAAATCATTCGTCGCTTCGAATGTATATTTCTCTAAAATAGTTCTTCAAAGTTTTAAACATTGAGAGACTTTGAGAATATCTTGAGGAAATCGATCGAAGACGGTCGTTGCCACTGATCGAGCGGAAAGTCAGTGGAATTCAGGAGTTTTCCGGTGTTCGGAAAGCAAAGTGGCGTGAATGAGTCGTCCCTTGACGATCGTAAGATTTATGGTTGCGATGGTTGGACAGGGAAGGCCAAACATCGTACGACTCGGGGCTAGTAACCCTTGACTTTCCATGGTCCACCCCCGACGACCCCACGCGGTCGTGACAGTGGTCGCACACGAGTCGTGATAAAAATATGACTACCTCGTAAAAAAACGTGGATATTTTTTTCTTACGACTTTCTTTTCTGGCGAACGTGAAAAGATCTTATTTTAAAAATCATCTCCAACATCTTTCAAAATAAATGAAAAAAGGAAAGAAAAAAAAAAAGAAGACAAGATACTTTTAGCAAAAAGCAAGATCTAAGGATTCGTGGAAAGTGCGACTGGCTGGTTTTCCAGTTTTTTCGTCGGCTGGCCAGCACGCCGGAAGGGCGGCGTTTCCATCGTAGAAAAAGTTAATAGCGTGGAGAAATTAGCCGTAGGGAGGGTGGCGGTGGGTCGACGAGGAGGGCGATATAGTTGGCGTGGGGGAGTATCGTTGATCGGGGGTGGGTTGCGTTTCGTTTCGTTGGGGTGTTCTGCACAGATGCAACGATAGCAACAGTTCGGCCGGTTCGTTCGGACAGGAGGCCGCATATGAGCTCGGTTCGGTGCCACGGCATCGTATGGGCTTGACTCACACGCATCACACGCAGTCATCCATCATTGTCAGTCTCTTCACTGACACAGCCGTTCGTCCGGTCTACGAACGCGCATACGGGACTCTCTCGATACGAACCCTCCTCTTTCATTCTCTCTTCCTCTACCTACAGCCTCTGATTTCCCGCGAAACTGAACCTGCGAGACTGCAGGTTTACACGCGGCTAGTGATCCTTCTTTTTTCTTATTTCGAATGTCGCCTCGGGATAACCGTGTTTCAAGTACCTCGTCTCGAGGATCACCAATTTCGTATTACTTCGGGGGTAAATTACTCGGAGAACAAACGTGGACATCGATCTGCCACGAAAGGTTTCTAATAACGAATAGAAATTTCAACGATAAGACTGACATGGTATTGAACTTTGGTCTTCAGGGTTAATAGGTTAAAGATTTATTATGAAAGGCGGTGTCACGTATTCGTGATCTTTTCTTTATCTTATTTTGCGTGCAAAGATACTTTGAACGTTTCTCCATTGAAGGGGTTGCGCTTAAGAAAGGATACGATTTTCGACGACAGCGTGCAATTTGCGTGCGAAAATCAATTTTAATAGGGTGATAAATGCGGCGCATCGCGACGGTAAAATATGGATCCAGCACGGTGCGAGAGGGCCGCGCTAAAAATAATATTTCAGTTCGATTGCTCTGATATTTCGAGTCATCCATCATCGTTGCTTCCTTTGCCGACAAGGGCCTCGTAGAAAACGCCGATCCAAATACATACATTTCGGTCTCTCTTCTCTCTCTTTGAGCGCGACCATGATCTATTATGAAATTCAGAAGTATTTCTCGATCCTGTATAACGTTTCCATTTTCACGTCACTGACAACTAAAATTGTCAAATCCAGTTAATATTGTTAATATTTACAATAAGGGAAGAAAAGGATTGGTAAACGAGTCTGAAAATTAATTTTATAATGATATCTTTTATTATCTTTCATTTCCATTTCCACTTATCATCGGTTTTACCGTTTAATCCGTGTGAACGAGGGGGAACGAAATTGCGAGCGGGTCAGAAAGGGATGATGAAACAATCCACTGATAAGTTTGATACGACCTGTATTTTGCGCTGTTGATCGAATGTATACACGTGCGATTGATCGCCATCAATTTTTTTTTTTCACTTTTTCCCTTTTTATAGTCGGTCTGGTAATTATACAAGATGCGTTCGTGTCTGTGTGTGTGTGTGTATACGTCGCTGCGTGTTTAAGTACATGTGTCGATAAGCGCCGCGTTATATACAAAGAAGTGTCCTCGTGTAAACGATCGTGTCTCCCTAAAACGTTTTCATATAATACAAATCAGACGATCGTGTGTATTAAATATTGAAAATGAAATGTTCCTAGCTATTCGAGGCTTATCCTCGTACATCACCTATCGTTCCTTCCAAGACGACGATCTCCGTTCAAATTTCAATCCTCTTAGAGGCTAATGAAAAAAACAAAAAAAAGAATGATTTGTCTATAACGCAGAAACGAGATCGCGTCTTACGGTGTACTGTAAAAAATAAACGTTAAAAATTACCACTGCAGAGTATCAACTAAAAAAGCGCGCCGATGGTTGGTCGACGTTCGTAAACGGCTGGCTCGCACATTAAAAATGCCTGAACAACGTCGAAACAGCGAAACAAACGGCCGACAAGTTCCGTCATTTTTTTCACGAAACATTCTCGCCGCGAGAGGTGCCGTTACGAGTGCATTTTTCAACCTGTCCCCTTTTTGAAGCGGGTACAAGCGAGTCTGGTTGCTTACAGTACACGGTTACACGACTATCTTCCGTCTTTAGTTAACTACTAACGCATTGCACTTGTGCTCCACTCGCCTTTGCGTGAAAATTCTTCCGGTTAACCCTTTCGCTACTGTGGCTGACAATATTCCTTCAATGCATAGGTGGTGTACAATGCAAATTAGCACCTAAGTTAAGACATTTTTTCATTCTAAACCAAATTTTGGGAATAAATTTATTTTATTCGCGGTTTCGATATAAAACGTACGAGTAGCGAAAGTGTTAAATTAATTTTCCCCTCACTGGCTCTATTTATGTACACAGATTCTCTCACTAGGAATTATTGCTCGTGAATTTATAGCCACCCTCGCGAAAATTTTCTTTAACTCTTCGCGGTTGATTTTCATGAAATTTCAATAAAGAAATCAGCTAGGAGCAGGTATTTCGAAAGACTGCACTCGCAACTCGCGAGTTCGGCCATCGATTCGTCTGGAAATTATTTACACTCGTTCAGCTACGTCCACTGCGAATCGTGCACCATTCGAGTTCACTTCCCGGCCGGTTCACACCGAGCTTCCTCGAGTGATCATTGTTTACGGACGGAGATGATTACGACGGCCGGGACAAGGATCATCGAGAGCGTTCCGCTTCGTCGGACTCTCTTCCAATTGATCCACGCGAAACTGCAACGACAATTCGTCGATTAAACTTCCCGTTGTTTCGCGTCGATCAAACATCACACGCGTTGTCGTAGCTTCAGTCTTGAAATCACTTGTCAGGTCTGCAAAGGTAGCCCTCCAATCGTACACGTTCAATTCAAGAGATGTAACACCATTTTGCATCCTGAACAGAGTGTCCTGATCACTGTTTCCAATGCACTTGCTGCCAATTTGTTTGCTGCTTGTAAAATCCACAAGACAGCTTCATTCCAGTCTTCCAGAACTAGTCAGAGATCCGACCATCCATCCTCCCTTTCAACTATGTACACATCACAATGAACGATCACCAGCTCTTCTCGATCTAAGGAAAGATCAGTATAGCGCGTTCAATAGACACTGTTCGTCGCTCCAGTCCAATTGACAAGGATTCTCGGTCTCGTGAACTCAGCTGAGCTGATAGTACTCCGGTGCGAAGTCGTTCGCTAGGTTGGTCAAGAAGTTGAAGTCGGAGGAGCTGTTGCTGTTATCCGCGGATGGTGGTGGTGCGGCTGTGTGAACAGGTTCGCCGTAAAAGTTGCCGTAATTTCCGTAGGAATCATTGTTGCTGTCCGCTTGAGCCGCGCTACCAGGCGGAGTGATGACCGCAGCGGTGGCAGCCGCGATGGCCGTCGCTGTGGTGGTCATGCCTGGCGCTGGAAACGGGTCAGGCGATGAGACGTAGCTGTTTGGAATGTTGGACGCCTCTCCGCCCTGATGGACGTGCAGTTGGCTGGTCTGCTCGTAGTAGGCATTCGGGTGACACTTGTTCCCGGCTCTGTAGTCGGTGGAGCTGGGATGCATCGGGGGCTGATGCGTCACGTAGCCTTCTGCGGTGTGCTGTTGTGGGTGCTGTTGTTGCTGTTGAATGTCGTTGTAGTAGTGTTGACCGGTTTGCACGGAGACGGCTGCGTGGCCATGGGAGGCCAGGTTCTCGTTGGCCCCGTGGTAGTTGCCGGTGCTGGGGTAGCCGTAGGTTCCTGGAGCCATGTAGCTTTCGGTAGTCTGCTCGTGCTGGGCGGTGTAGGTTTGTCCAGCACCGTAGGCGTTGTTACTCTGCATGCCTCTGTGATACGAGGCGTGATAAGGAGGCCCCGCCTGCGGATACCCATTGTATTCGCCACTGGTGTTGGCGTATTGACTCTGCTGTTGATGGAACTGCATACTGGCGTTGTACATGGTCCTGGACGCTGTGCCTGTGGTAGCGCGGACGTGGTGTCCTACCCTGGAGCCCAGCACCTGGTTCTGTCTGGCATAGAGCGGGTGCACTTCACCGGGATAAGAGATCCTGGGCTGTTGATAGGTATCTCGGGAGCAGTAGTTGTTTTGCGATGGAGTCTGCTGCGTGGCTGCTGGTACGGTCTGCCTGGTGGGCACTCCGTTTCTGTAATCGACGGCAGACGTGGATTGGTAGACTGTTTGTTGTTGGAAGTGGGTCTGCTGATTGCTGGTGATGTTCCTGCTAGCATGGGGGGACATGGTGCCAGCGTTGGTGGATCCGTGCATCATTGGTGCAGCCACGGAACTGCTGGACGATGGAGAGCTTCTGGGTCTTTGCATGTAGGCCGCGTGGGTAGCTTGGATTCCTAGCGGACTACCTTGTTGCAATTGAACAGAGACGGGTGTTCCTGGCGTAGACGACGGCGTTAAGCTTCTGGTAGAATTTTGACCGGGTAGAACGGGCGTGCTGACGGTAGAATCTGGCATTGCTAAGAGGACACCGTTGCTGGTCACCGCGCAAAGTTCCTTGGTGTTTGCTGACGGGGACTTCTTACTAACGGAGATTTGTTGTTTTGCAGGGTTCGGACTTTTATGACCGCTCTCTACCTTTACTCTGACATCGGAGGGCAACTTTTTGGCTGTCATACTCGGAGATGTCACCTCGCTACCGTCTTGGGACCTCGAGTCATCGTCCGCTATCATCTTCTCGAAGGAACTGGAGACACTGTTGGTGCTTCCAACGCTGCTGGCCCCGTTGCTGTTCGCATTGAAGCCTGGATTGCTGTTGTTGTTCGTCGCGGTAGGTGTGTTATTATTGTTACTATTACTGCTTCGACGACCAGACGGATTGAGCTCTGTCACGTCGCCTGACAGCGTGCTGCCGACATCACTCACGGTCGAGATATCACAGTTGTGGCAGCTCTTCTTCTCCTCGCTGTCGATCGCCAACATCTTCTCGCTCTTCGACTTCTCCATCCCGTCGGACGTCGAACCGTCCTTCTCGTCGCCGTCCTCTTTGCTCAGGGTTTGCCGTTTGTGCTTCATCCGTCGGTTCTGGAACCAGACTTTCACCTGGAAACGAGGTAAAACGGATTTTTTGGTCTTGACATAGGAACGATGAAAGGGTATCGTGATTCTTCCACAATGTTCTTGGAATTTCTTCTCACCTGCCTTTCCGTGAGGTCCAAAGACGCGGCGATCTCTATTCTTCGAGGTCTGCACAGGTACTTGTTGAAGTGGAACTCTTTTTCCAGCTCGAGCAACTGCGTGTTCGTGTATGCTGTTCGCAACCTCCTCGGCAGCCCATTCTCTGCGAAACAGAAAAGTTTCTCTTCAATACAAGGTGTGTTTTCGTTTTACCTTCGTTCACGCGATCTCTGTGGCCAATTTTGTATACACGAAATCTCATTCTCATCGTGAAATTGGGCGTCTATAGTAGCGAAAGGGTTAAGAGATTCAATCGGAAGGAGCAAAAAAGAAGAGTAAACACGATCGCGAGTTAGGGTAACCAAACGACACGTCTACTTTCCAGAGAATGAGTCGATCGAGTCTTTTTGCGCTATTAAACCGCTTAATTAATGATCATTTAGGCGAACAGAGGGTTAGGGGCTGGCAAAGGAAGCGGTGCTTTGAACAATGCACCGGTTTCAACCCCCCCGCGTAGCCTGTTTCATCGTGGTACCGTCAAGTTGGCGGTCTCCTTCGAAACTTCTGGCCATGTTCCCAGGCCGAGGGTATTCCGTGTCGATGCGAAACATCTCCTAATTATTATCTGGTAAGAAACTTGTCGCTAGATAACGAGGAAGACGGTCGACAGGGTAAAGAGGACGAAGGAAGGGAACGGTGGTGTGTGGATGGATCTCTTAGCTCGAAGCTAGTGCCCTCGAGACATTATAGATCTCGTCAAGGCGTACCGGTAATTTTCCCTGCAACGATGTAAACAATCATTAATAGCCGCGTATCGTAATTACAGGATTTTACCAGGCCGTTCTGACGCGGGTAATATTTCAATCAAAGTCGCCGGTTGTTGCACACGCGCCTCGGCGACGTACCTGGGAATAATTTCAATGGTTTAATGCAAAATTCAGCCGAGAAAAACCGATGGCTATTAACTTGACGCCTTCGCAGGGATCAATTCTTCTTTTTTTTTCTTCTTATTTCGTCGAAGGACTGACTCTCCTGTAATTCAACTCGCGTTCTTTTCATTTTTCTTCTTTTTTTTTTTTTACCCTGTGTGTTTTTCTTGGTGATTATGAAACTCAAGTAATAGTATGAAAATCGAACCGCGACTGGTTCGCCTTGGACACGGTGTTGATTGTGCACCTTGCGATTGTTTCTTGACAGCTAGAATAATTGCAATGGCTGTTTATAGGAATTCGAATCATTTTTATCAAGGTAATGCGAAGTGGTGGTGTGAAAGCCTAGGTTTGCAAATAACACCAACATTCCGAGATCTTTCAGCTAGGATTTTCAAAACTTTCAACGTGACCTACTTGTTTTATGGAATCCGAGGAACGTTCAATCAGAAAAAGTGATTTATCAGAAAAGAAGGAAGGAGAAGTCAGTGAAGCGTGCCATGTTAAGTCAGACTTCAGCCAAACTCGTTTCACTGAAGTTGTATAAATTCTGTTGCAGATGGTGGGTGGGGAGCGGCGAATTCGCAGGAAAACAGTGCCGCTAATTTCATAGGAGCCGATGATTTATGGTCGACTGCAACGTTCCGTTATTGCAACGGCCGATGGAACAAGGATACGTCTTGGGTGCAGAAGGTAAACGTCGAGACCTGACGCGTTAATAGGTAAGTCGACCTTGACTTTTAAGCGTTATAATTAACGAATCGAGCGGTGAGCTCGATTCCTCATCGAGGAGACAGGTGGTATTGTTGTGGTTTAAATTACCCCGGTACTTCTATCCACCACCAGAAGGATCCTTCGAAAATTTCAACTTCATCTCGAGTTCATACTTAATCCCGTTTAATTATCTTCATTTAGAATGAATTAAATAGCATTTCTTTCTTCTGCGGTGTTGAAACATTCTTAATAGAGTGTACTGATTTTTTGCACGTACTGTGTCAAGCTTAAAAATCTTTCGTCTATCAAAGGTTAATTATTCTTAGCTAATTATCAACATTTTGATTGGTACAATTTAAAAAATAAGAAACGAAGAGATCGCGAGTAGACAGAATGCAAACAATGGGCATCGCTTGTAAAGCGATCAGATAGGATGCAAAGTATCGACGGATCCCCGTGGCAAATCCCAAGATAGAAATATCGATAAGGGCTGTGTCACTCACGCGATGCTTCGTCCACCCCCCCTTCAACCCTCCACTCTTTTACTCTATGAAAACTCCACGTGCAGGCTTAGCCAGACTGCACCCCTTGTCTGTCGTCTTCCTCTCCTCGCTATCTTCGCCCTTTTACCTTCCTACACACCACCCTTCCACCCTTCTTTTTTTATCTATCTTTCGTGGACTCGCATCGTCCTCGTTCCACTTCTTCAACCCCTGACTACTCATCCGAGCATGGAACCACCCCTCGTCCACCCTTGGATCCACTCGCACGCCATGGGGTAGTTTAGCATCTCAGCCCTCCCGAAACGAAGCAGCACCCTCTTCGCCCCTACGACAGCAGCTTTTTTTTCTCCTTCGGTACCATCACCTGATACGCGAGAGACTCGTCGAAAAAAGGTTGAGCAACGGTTGCGCTCCTCGGGAACACCGTATTAGGGCGTCCAGGTGGGATGATCGGTCTATGGGAGGTCGAAGACGACCGATTGTCCGGGAAATTCAATGTTGAGCGATTGAATCGTTGTTCCTCGAAGAAGACAGTCACTGATGCGTCGAACGACACGTCGTCGACGGAAGACTGATTGCTTTTTGTTAATGGGGTTCGTTTTGGCGAAGCAAATTGCTTCGAGGTTTCTATTTTACTGCTGGCTGGGTTTGGATTTAGAAGTTACAACGCCTTTGCGTATCTTAGGTTTACGAAAGGTTTTTTTTGATAATTTTTTCAAGTATCTATTTAGTGAAATTTTCAAATGTATCATGGTCGACGGGAATCATCCCTTCGGAAAAGGGACGACAGAGTACACCGGTACGAGACACAAGCAATAGGCGTGGAATATCGGTTGATTGACAGGTCCGTCCAGCCAATCGCGAGACCGAAATGCTGATGAGGCCCACGTCAATCACGCGAAACTTCCATCTCTCGCCCCCTAGCTACCCTTATCCTCTGAAAAGCCCACGCGCTGGATTTGCCGAGTTTCGAGCACGCCACCCTCTCTCTTTTCTGCACGCTTGTTCACCCCCTTCTCTCTCTCTCTCTTCCCCTATCATCATTTCCCCCTTCCAACAACCCTCTCGACAGCCATTCGGTTTCAATAATTATGGTGTGGCCCGTTGCAAGCTCGCGAAGACAGACAAGGATTTCAGCATCCGTTTTCATGAAAATGTTTCATCCATACACGTGGAGAGGATAATCGTGAAATTATTGTCTTTGAAATTGAAAGGATTTAACTTCAAATTAATTAATATTTTCAATGGGTGCTCAACCTTCGCATTTAATGCACTTCACCTAATCTTTTTCAAACGACTCCTTGCAAATGATACACTCGATGATTCTTTCATCAAGAAGTAAACGTTTCTCGAATCTCGGGCTATAATTTAGAATTCAGTTACTTGCAAATCTTTATTGTTGCGTCAACAGAGCGAGCAAAAGTTCACGAAGCGACGAGAATGTCGAAAGTATTATAGAATAGAGAAAGAAAAAAAGGAAGGATGATAATGACGAAACGATGGACAAGAAATTACTGATATAAACTACCGAGGCGAAAGCTATTAACCTTTTGCACTGCGAATGGTTTTTCAGACACCAGAAATAAATGATGCCGTACACAATATGTACGTGTGTGTGTGTGTGCGCGCGCGGGCTTCAGACAAATGTTACACGCGAGTTTTGTTACACGCCACAACTAAACGTCGTCCTAAATCGTAAAAACAAATAACAAGCAGACTTGCACGTCTCCCGAAGTGATTCCTTTTCTTGTCCTTTCTACCACCCAAGGAATATATTAGTCATCGATGATGTAATCCCCTCTTCTGTCTGACGGAAATTAAAATAAGACAATGTTGCTTAAAGCAGTTGCTGGATTCTCACAAAAGGAATGATTTATCGCTTGTCACCATTTTTATATCTTATTTTTCAAACACCTTGGAATTATCTTTTTAACGTTAATGGTAGTTCCGTCTTCCGTTGCCATTTAGCCTTTTCTTACTTTTTTTCTGAAAAAAAAAAATATCGAACAATGAGAGACACGTCTACTGATTCAACGATGGTGTAAGCGGTAGTTAGTGTCGTTCAACTGTTGTTAAAGGAATGAATTTAGGAATTATCCTTTAAATTCATATAAAGGAGTATTTTGTAAATGATTTTGCATTCAATTTACCGAGAAATTTTTCGGCAAATTAGTCAATTGATTAACGTTGAATTAACAATTTCTTTGGAGAATGAATTCTCTAGTTTTTAATTGAAATTTCAGTATTCCAAATTTATTTTCATTTTTCTCACAAAATTTTTCCATCAAAACAATTTTCAAAATTCATATCGGGGTTAGGGTAAACAGTGTCTGGTCGGGGAGTGTAAATAAAGCGATTAGTGTCAAAGTCCTGAACGAAGAAGAGGAGACACGATACTTTCTGTAACGATTCGTCGACGGACGAAAATAGTATCAGGTATTGCTGCTTTGTACTGGCCGTTCTTACTCGACGCAAAAATATCATGGTCGATAGTTGCGAGCCTCTCGTTCTTCCCTCGACTGGCCAAGGGCTGACAAACTGTCAGCTTTTGAAGTCTTGGAATGAAGAGCGCCGACTGACAGGTCGATGCTCGCGTCGAGGTACACGCGCCACCGAAATAGATCTCGTATTTTCGAATATTTCAATCTCTTCAAGGGTCTCTGGTTCAGCTTGACTGAGCACCTTGGTTTTTAAGATCATCGTATACTGTCAATCATTCTAGGGGATTTATAGACGTGTATAAATTATTGTATAACCCATTTTCTACCAAACTAGCAATAATAAAAAAAGAAAGATAGATAAAGAATATTAATTAGCGTAGGATTGAGACTTCCAGATCCAATAATGAATTGGCTGGTTTGTCGGTCGAGATGGATGATTCTCTTAGGATTTAAAATAGAATCGGTAGGACAAAATCTTGGATATAGAGTTCGAGGCTAGGCACCATTATTAAAATAACAGTAGACTTGTTAGTCGCTTGTGCTCGCTCGTCATTCGTCGAGCGAGTAAAAGCCGTCGGCCGTCGCTTCGCGGCTTCTCCTCGGAATAACAGGATGCGTTTCTCTTCGAGAACGATTCGACTGATTTTTATGTCTTTCTTTGTGGAGACTATAGATTCTAGAACCGTAGAACAATATCATATTTTAATAAAACTGATAATGGTATAAAGTAAATTTGTGGAACAGGGAATCGAAATTAAATTTTAATTGAATATATTTTTCTCCGGAACTTCACCAATGGAAAAGGAAAAGAAAAATTAAAGATTGGTCCAAGTCTCTTCTCCATTTCGTTTAAGGATCTTGGTTGCTTTAGTTCGGCGGGCCAGTTCCCTATAGACAGGTGGGAAGGGTCACATGATGGCCGTCTTTGTAATTTGTCTTTTGTTTCCCCCTGGCCCGTAGGAAGAAAACTTGCAGGGTAGAACAAAGGACGGAAAGAGCCGCTCTATCGACTGACGCGAACAACAGAATCGTTTCCTTCTCCTTTAGCCGCTTCTCTCTTTCGACGTAAACGTATGAAAAATGAGTGACGAGACTTTGGAACAAACGAGGAGACAGCCGGTTCCGTGTTCGTGTTTCGTTTAAAACAGGTAGATAGCCGATTGAACGTGGCCCATGCTAATCGATAACCTTTCAATCATTTTGCTCTGCTTTTGAGATCCCGAAATGGTCCAGATTTAAATGTACATTCTTTGTACATGCCAATTAGTTTTTATTTAAATTCCAACGTTTAGGTTCTAAATTAATTATCCCAACACGCTGTTGGTAACTGGAACAGGAAGATGGAAAATATTTTGTGGCCGGTAGTGGTCAGTGGTCGACCAACGGTGGTTCTTGTTTCGCGTCGTTAATTGATTATAGCTGGTACGGGCCGTGGAGCCCTGAAAAGCAAAACGGACGAATAGCCTTTGCCACCCCTCTGCTCGCGTTTAGTTTTGTTCGTTCCCGGTTTTCGAGATACGCCTTCGTATAAATCTGTAATGAGCAACGGTTCACGACGATCCACCCTTAGGCCTGCTGCGTTTCTTCCGACGATTTATCCGCCACAAATTACCCGATCGACGCGTACCCCGTCATCAAGCCATGAATAATTCTTCGATCGTTAGGTGGATTTCCAGGAACCATGCTCGTCATCAACGATCGCTCGTCCTTGGTCTTGCGAAGAAATTTGAAATTTAATATTAACCGTCACAATTACCCCAAATTGTAAGGTTAATAAATTGAAAATTCATTAGATTGTGAATTGTAGACGATTCAATAGTATATGATGAAAAATTCAAGGTTGAATCCCATAGTTGTTGAGGATTCTTTCTCTGGCTGTAGATACTATCTTCATCAGAGCAGCAACGTCAGTAACGCCTCTAGCCACTTAGAATTACCAAGAATTCTAACCTGTATCAGGATCAACGTCTTTCCTTTTGTACATACAGCGTACGAGTCGCTTTCATTACGGACCCCCTTCCGTTCATTAAAAGCAAGAGTTCAGCATAGCACACGCGTGATGTC